AAGTCTATGGCATGTGGATAAAATGTGTAATGGTATATCAATGGGACAATGAAATTATAAATGAATCTGCCATAATAAATAGAACTAATTGTTGTCAAAAACATTTAAAATTTTCAAAATAACAATAGTGAAAGTATTCCAACAATAGTATTAAAAAATTTAAAATCTTTAATGAATTTTCCAAATTGTGGTTAACGTATAGCATCGCTGTGTGATCCTTGTTTCATAATAATGTTTAAAATTGATATAACATAAACTAGACAAGTTAAGTACAAAATTTAAATTCACATCAGTGTAATTACAAACACGTTTTATTAATTACTAATTGTTTTTAACTATAATTCAGATGTTAATTATCTCAGATAATTTATCTGATTTATAAGATTCACCAGCCCTGTTTTTAATTATAACTATAATTAATTATAAAAATTAGACAATACAAATTAAACTAACATAAATTACAGTGATCAGCCTTTTATTAGATAAGTCAATATTTTTTGATGATGTTTTAGAAAAAATAATTTATTTATTTTTAAATTATACTATAATAGAATATGTTTTTATTTAAAAAATAATTGTTTAAAAAACATTATTAGTTCGAGCTATAGATATAAATTAAACAGAATTTTTAATATTTATTTTAAAAATTCATATCTGCCTTGAAAAGACAGTATTTATTAAATTATTATCATGTTCACATTAGCTGGTAGAACATTTATTTTGAACGTAAACTGTAAGTTTGAATTAATTAAATTAACAAGCCAACAATTTAATTCAATTCATTTTTGTATTGCCTATTTACTTACAATCTGTCATTACAATTAGTTTTATCATAAAGATATTAAACAAAATCATTTTGTTGAATATTTATTATAATAACATTATACATATTCCTATTTAAACTTAAAAAATAACCTTATTTAGTGCGTTGAAATATGCGCACCGCTTGATTACGAGGTCGCACTTCACCAGCGCTCAGCAAATATTTAAGAGAATTATGGTCAATTCCACTACCAGGACCGCCTGATAGCACATTTTTACTCCACACACCAGGAGTTAAATCCGCATCTTCATATATTTCAGAGGTTTTATAGAATTTTTGAACTTTGGACAATCTAGGTGCATTTTCAGCCTGAATACCCTTACCAAACTCAAGGCTACCGTTGCCTTCGGCCCGGAAAAATTGACCCGCGTATTCGGCCGTGACATCTGACCACGTGTATGCGGGCCATAGTGTTTTGGGCTCGGGCTTACCAGGCAATTGTACGTATGTAAAACCAATAGGAATTTGAGTGTCTTTTATCTGAGTAATTTCAGATTGCAGTTTATTCTGAAATTGTTTCAATTCATTTAATAGTCGCCGATTGTCCCTGATCAAACGCTCCATACGCTGGCCCGACCACATCACTAGACGTTTACACATGTATGCATTTTTCTTTGTGCATGGTTCATCGGCCCATTTGCCCACGTTAGCTTTGTCGGCCAACATTTCCACACAATTGCCATCATCAACCGGTCGGCCGGGAATCCAATTCTCATACTCACCACTACTACTGTCCGTCCAAACAATGTGTTTGTTTTTGATGCCTGCGTCGAGCCATACATTGTCTACCATTTTGTATTTAATAATAAGTTTGTCGAGAAATTCCTGTTCTTCGAATGAGTTAATAGTGGGTAGAGTTGAGTCCATTTCACCCCTACAGGCTGTGGCCACAGTCTGATAGTCACCCAAACCCTCGGCAATATATTTATAGCATATATCGTAATAATCGTCGTGATATAAGTCCCAACCATCACCACATATGCCTTCGGCCGTAGTCAGCTTGGTCAAATAATTTACTAAAAATTTTATTTATTATCAGTTTATAATTTTATGTGCTATATACTGTTTTTAATTTTTATATAAAAATTATTTTAAATTCAATAATAACAACATGTATACAATACTCACATGTAAGGCATAAAAGCAAAATGTATTTTAAATTGATTATCATTTTAATATAATAAAAGTTTGCTAAAGTAATATGCTTTATATAATGCTTGTTAATACTATTTGGACTATATTTATACTATTTGTTTATCACTAATTACGGATTAAATTCTATATAATTAGCACAATATAATTGAGTAATTGATATAGTTTAGAAAAAACATATTGAAATTGATAAAGTATATTTTATGATAGACGAATGTAAACATGTTATTTTGACGTATTTTATTTAATTATTATTTAAGATAAAATCATAGATTAATTATTTTGTATTGTTATTAATAATTTGTTTCATTAAAACAAATAAAATACTTTAAAATAAAACAAGTTCAAGCACAATTTGATATCATAAAATATAAGCTATTTTATAATTTTATGCAATTTTTAAAGTTTATATACCATACATATTTTATTTAACACTAATTCACATAAAAATATTAATTTTAATAAAATAATACTGTCTTAAAATTAAACACATTGGATTTATTTATTTTGCTGAAATACGAGCACAGTTTGAAAACAACTAATTTATTTAATATGCTTTTTAAATTAAATTTTTAAAATATTCAAAAATTATAATCAATATTTGTTGCAAAAACTTTTGTATTTATTCAATACGTTTAAATATGAGCACCGCCTGATTGCGGGGCCGGACCTCACCAGATGACACGAAAAATTGTTGTGAATATCTAGATTTACCCGATTCAGCATCACCAGAATATACACTTGGACTCCAAACACCTGGTGTTATTTTAATATCGTGGACGTATGAATTGATATAAGTCTTTACATCAGTTAATCTAGGTGCGTTACATTCCTGTACACCATTATTAAAACCAAGACTACCGTTGCCATCGGCCCGGAAAAATTGACCAGCGTATTGGGCCGTCACATCTGACCACTTGTATATTGGCCACAATGTTTTCGGTTCAGCCTGACCGGGCAACTGTACATATACAAAGTCAATAGGGACTTGACTATCTGTTAACTGTGTAATTATTGATTGCTGTTTACGCTGATACTGTATCACTTCGTCTAAGAGTCGCCGATTGTCCCTGATCAAACGCTCCATACGCTGACCCGACCACAACACTACACGCTTACACATGTACGCATTTTTCTTTGTGCATGGTTCATCTGCCCATTTGCCCACGTTTGCTTTGTCGGCCAACATTTCCACACAATTGCCATCATCAACCGGTCGGCCGGGAATCCAATTCTCATACTCACCACTACTACTGTCCGTCCAAACAATGTGTTTGTTTTTTATGCTTGCGTCGAGCCATACATTTTCTACCATTTTGTATTTCATAATAAGTTTGTTGAGAAAATCCTGTTCTTCCTGTGAGTTAATAGTGGGTAGAGTTGAGTCCAGTTCACCCCTACAAGCCGTGGCCACAGTCTGATAGTCACCCAAACCTTCGGCTATATATTTATAGCATATATCGTAATACTCGTCGTGATATAAATCCCATCCATCACCACATATGCCTTCGGCCGTAGTCAGCTTGGTCAAATAACTTACTAAATATATTATTTATTATTAATTTTTCTCACTTTAATATGCTATATATTGTTTTTAATTTATTGTACTAAATATATACTCACTTATAAGGCATGGAAGCAAAATGTATTTTACATAGATAATCATTTTAAATATAATAAAAGTATTTAATTATATAATCAAAGTATATAATCAATTATATATAAAAGTATATAATGCTTGTTAATTATATTTATACTAATCGTTTATCACTAATTACTAATTAAATGCAATATAATTAACAAAATATTATTGAGTAAATGAGATAAATAGAAAAAACATTGAAATTGATAAAAGTTATTCTATTAAAAACAGATGTTACTTTGTTATTCTGAAATATTTTATTTATTTATTATTTAAGGAAAAATTATAGATTACATATTTTGTACTGAAGTTTAATAAATAATCTAAATAAACACAAATAAAATACTTTAAAATATAGCAAATTTAAACGCAATTTAATATTATTAAATATAAACAATATTATAAAGTTACGTATAATTATTAACTCGTCTATATATCGTATATATTTTATTTAATGCTAACTGATAATTTGCGTAAAAATATTAATTTTAATAAAATTAAAAACAATTAAAAATTTTATTGTAGATAAAAAATATAATGACTCAAAATTGAACATGTTGGACTTATCTATAAGTTATAGACTAGATTCTAGTCACTAGAACATCGAAAACAAAAACTATCTATATACAGTAGACATTCGATTTTAACAGAATTCGGTTTTAACATAAGATTTTGTTAACACCGGCGAGCGATATTAGTATTTTTAAAGTACCCGATTTTAAGAGAATTTGATTTTAACACACATTTTTAATAGCACCGCAAAAGTGTCAAAACCGAATGTCTACTGTATAATATTTAACAAATGGTAATCAATATTTTATTTCACACCCGTGAATTTAAAAATATGTTATTGTTGTTGTAATTAATAATATAACTGTTGTATTACAACATAAACCAAGCTTTATAGTATTTAATCAGCTAAGCATTAATAAAATATAATAAATCTAACTAAATTAAGTTTTATTACACACTGTATTGCCAATAACTAAAACAATTTTTTTAAAACAATTACAAAATTTATAATTCTGGATAAAAACACATTTATGCAATACTATAAATATGCGCACGGCAAGATTCCGGGGCCACACTTAACCCCCGGTAATAAAAAATTGTTGAGTCCATTTCCCCTCACGTCTGCCCGCATCACCAGAATATACAAATGTACTACAATTGTCAGGAGTTAGCTTAATGTTATGCGTGTACTCCATTTTCAGTGTTTTAACTTTAGCTAAAATAGGTGCATTCTCTTCCTGCACACCCCACCAAATCCTAAACTACCGCCCCCTTCGGCCCGGCAAAACTAACCTGAGTATGTGGCCGTCGCATCCGACCACGCACATTTTGGCCACAGTGTCTTGGGATGTGCCTGCGTGGGTAACTGTATGTAGATAAACCCTATGGGCATCTGGTTTAGTTCCAAGTGGGTAAGTCTAGCCAGTTCTTTGTCTAATACACGACTTATGTCGCTGAGCACGCGCTAAATGCGTAGATCAGACCACATGATCACACGTTTACATAGATAACCATTTTTCTTTGTGCATGATACATCTAGCCATTTACCTGACTCACATGATTGACACTGTCTGTTTGCATTTCAACACACATGCCATCGTTAACGGGTCGGCCGGACATCCAGTTCTCGTAGTCATTACTACTTCTGTCCGTCCATACAATGTGTTTGTCTTTGACGCCGGCGTCGAGCCATACATTGTCTGCCATTTTGTATTTGACAATCATTTTGTTTAGAAACTCTTGTTCTTTTGGCGAATTAATTGTGGGCAGCGATGAGTGGTTTTGCTTTTGGCAAAATTCAATCACGGTCTTATAGTTATCCAAACCACCTGGGTAATATTTGTAGCATATATCGTAGTACTCGTCGTGAAATACGTCCCAACCATCACCACATTTACCATCCGATTTAACGAGCTTTGCTATTATAACATAGAAAAAGTTAATAATAAAATTTATTTAGTATAATTTTTTCTGACATGTTTACAATATTTTAATTTAACCTACAATTAATAAAAATGATGAAAAATACAAAATATGTAACACACATTTTGATCTATAAAAACTAAAAATTTGTATTTACTATATTAATTGTATAATATTAAATTATTTAATTTGAATTAAACACAAATGAAGCAATATACGTATATACAAAGCAAGTAGAATAAAATATTACACCATAATAAAGTTTGTTATCAATAATTTATAAATTATACATTAGTGTGAAATTATGAGCAATAAATATGAGGTTTGTTGATAAGTTGACAATTTTATCAGAATTAAATAGTAGTTAACACTTGCTTTTAAAGTAACGGTCATTTATTTTTGGACGTGTCTTAAATACCCCGCTACCCCGGGGTAACCCCGGGGTATTTAAGACACTTACCCCGTTACCCCGGGGTAACCCCGGGGTATATGTTTTATATACGTAGTTAATGTAGAATTCATCGCTGAGTTCGAATCTGAAACCTAAAATTATCTATCTCAAATATGTTTCGAGCTATTCGACTTAGAATATTTTTTATGAAAATTTTTACGTGACATAATTTATTAATATGAAATATGAGTTAGATGTAGATTTTAACGCCTATTAATATTATCTAATCGGTTTCAAAATGAAATTTATAATTTTCGAACTATTCGACTTTAAAATGTTAAAATCAAAATAACTTAAAAAATATTTGGTGTAGAAAATTAAAAATTAAAAATTTGAAATCGGCGTTAAAATCTACATCTAACACATATTTCATATTAATAAATTATGTCACGTAAAAATTTTTATAAAAAATATTCTAAGTCGAATAGCTCGAAACATATTTGAGATAGATAATTTTAGATTTCAGATTCAAACTCAGCGATGAATTCTACATTAACTACGTATATAAAACATATACCCCGGGGTTACCCCGGGGTAGCGGGGTATTTAAGACACGTCCAATTTTGAGTTTCAAAAATGCTCGTGCGGTGCATGTATTGTAGGTAGGGATGAAAATTTCAGTGAAATTTTGGGCTAAATTTTCACAAAAATGTGAACTGTTCATATGTTTTTCAACTACATACTTTTAATGTGGTGAAATATATAATAAACAAACTAATCAAATCGTGTTTCATTTTAAATAACAATAAAAATTCTTTTGGTTCTCTCATTATTTGAAATAATTTAAAGATTGTGCAAATTCTCGAATATTCTGCTATCAATTCTATGAATATTTTACTTAAAACATAAGTTTTAAATTTCGATTCCACAAACTAATAATATAATAATGATAAATAAAGTATTGTAATTAGTATTTTTAAAAATATTTTTACATAATCAGAATTAATTTAGATTAAATTACAGAAATTAGTGATTTATGTAGTAAATATGTACAATTTAAATGTCGCGTTATAGAATGATTGAAAATTTAGCATAAATGTTCAGC